GCTCACATAGGCACACAGATTCACACAGTCTCACAGGCTCACACAGGCTCCCACTGGCTCTCACAGGCTCACACAGGATCACACAGGCATATAGGCTCACAGTCTCACAGAGGATCACACAGGCACACAGACTAACACAGCCTCAGGTTCAGACAGGCTCAGACAGCCACACTGGCTCACACAGGCCTGCACAGGTTCACATATGCACAAAGGCTCACAGGCTCACACAGGCTGATGGGCTCACACAGCACACATATATTCACACAGGCTCATAGGCCCACACAGACACATAGGCTTACAGGCTCGTAGGCTCACAGGCTCACACAGGCACACAGTCTCATACAGGCACACATATTCACACAGGCTCACAGGCTCACACAGACACACAGGCTCACAGGCTCACAGGCTCATAGGCTCACTGGCTCACACAGGCACACAGTCTCATACAGGCACACATATTCACACAGGCTCACAGGCTCACACAGGCACAAAGGCTCACAGACTTACACAGGCACTCAGGTCATAGGCTCACACAGGCTCACAGGCACACATGTTCACACTGGCACACAGGTTCACAGGCTCACACAGACACAAATGGAAAAAAAGCTCACACAGGATCACACAGACTCACACAGGCACCTAGGCTCACACAGGTGCAAGGCTCACACAGATACACACATTCTCACAGGCACACAGACTCGTATAGGCACACAGGTTCACACAGGCTCACAGAGGATCATACAGGCACACAGGCTCATGCAGGCTCACAAGTACACAGGGTTACACAGGCTCAAACAAACTCACACAGCCACACAGGCTCACTCAGGCATACAGGTTCACAAAGACTCATAGTCTCACACAGGCTCACACAGCCACTCTGGTTCACACAAGCCTACAGTTTCGTATATACACACAGGCTCATAGGCTCACACAAACACACAGATTCAAACAGGCTCACAGGCTCACACAGGCTCACAGACTCTCACAGGCTAACATGATCAAACAGGCACACAGATTCACACAGGCTCACAGGCTCACACAAGCACAAAGGCCCACACAGACCCACAGGATCACAAAGGTTCACAGACTCACACAGATTCACACAGGCACACAGGTTCACGCAGACTTATAGGGTCACACAGACACATAGGCTCACAGAGGCAAAAGGCTCACACAGACCCACAGGATCACAAAGGCACAGAGACTCACACAGGCACAAAGACTCCCTCAGACATACAGAGGCACACAGACCTACAAAGACTCAACAAAGCTAACAGATTCACACAGGCACACAGACTCACACAGGCACACAGCACACAGTCTCACACAAATATACACATTGTCACAGGCACACAAACTCACCTGGACTCACAGGCTCACACCAATTAACACATTCTCACAGGCACACAGACTCACACAGGCACACAGGGTCACATGCTCACACAGGCATACAGGCTCTCACAGGCTCATAGGCTCACACAGGGAACAGATTCACACAGGTTTACGGGCTCATAGGCTCACATGGGCTCACAGGCTCACACAGGCTCATAGGATCACAAAGGCACAGAGACTCCCTCAGACTCACAGAGGCACCAGGGGCACACAGACCTACAAAGACTCAACCAGGCTCACAGACTCACAGAGGCACACGGGCTCACAGAGGCAAAAAAACTCCCGCAGGATCACACAGACTCACACAGATACACATTCTCACAGGCACACAAGTTCAAACAGATACACACATTCTCATAGGCACACAGACTTACAAGGCACACAGGCTCACACAGGCACACAGATTCACACGGGTTCACATTTCACACAGACACACTGGCTCGCAGGCTCACATAGGCTCACAGACTCACATATGTATACAGGCCTACACAAGATCCCATAGACTCACATAGGCACACAGGCTCACACTGCTCACACAGGCACACAGGCTCACAGAGGCACACAGATTCACATAGGTTCACATTTCACACAGGCACACAGACTCATATAGGCACACAGATTCACACAAGAACACAGACTCACACATCACACAGCCTCACATGGACACATGCTGATTTATATAGCCTCAGAGGCACAGACTCACAGAAAAACAGACTCATAGAGGTACTATTTACAGAGGCACCCACAGGACCCACAGATTCACACAGGACAGAATCACAAAGGATCCCAAAGGCACAGATAGGCAACTAGGCTCACAAGGGCTCACAGGCTAACATGCTCACACAGGATCACACAGACTCACACAGGAACACAGGCTCATACAAGAGCACACAGACTCATATAGGCACACAGGCTCACAGAGACATACAGACTAACACAGACTCACACAAACACACTTGGACAAACACTGAATCATACAGTCTCACAGAAGCACAGACTTACAGATAAACTCATACAGCACTCCTTACAGAGGCACCCAGACGCACAGACCCACAGATTCACACAGGCTCACACAGACACACAGGATCACATAGGCATAGACAGGCAACTAGGATCACAAAGGCTCACACAGTCCCACAGGCTCACAGACTCACACAGGCCCACAGACTCACAGAGATACCCCGGTTCACACGGGTACACAGGCTGACACAGGATCATATAGGTACAGACAAGCAACCAGGCTCATAAGGGCTCACAGACTCACACAGACACACAGACTGACACTGGCACCTCAGCTCACACAAGCACAAAGTCTCACACAGATAGACAGACTCACAGAGACACACAGATTCACACAGGCACAAAGGCTCACACAGATACACAGACTCACACAGGCTCACACAGGCACACAGACTCACACAGGCTCACAGGCTCACATAAGCACAAAGGCTCACACAGGATCACAGACTCACACAGGCACACAGACTCACACAGGCTCACAGATACACAGGCTCACACAGGCTCAAAGACTCACAGACACACAGGCTCACATAAGCACAAAGGCTCACCCAGATACACAGGCTCAAAGAGACACACAGGCTCACAGAGACACACAGGCTCACAAAGATACACTGACTCACACAGGATCACACAGACTCACATGGGCACACATTCTCACAGAGACACACAGACTCACACAGACCCACAGACTCACATAGACTCACACAGGCACACACAATTATACAGGTACACAGGCTCACATAGGCACATAGGCTCAAATAGGCACACAGAATCACACAGAATCACACAGGCTCACACATGCACACAGGTTCACACAGACACACAGCTTCACCTAGGTACAAAGGCTCACACAGGATCACAGACTCACACAGGCACACAGACTCACACAAGCACAAAGGCTCACACAGATACACAGGGTCACACAGGCACAAAGGCTCACACAGATACACTGACTCACACAGGCACACAGGCGCACACAAGCACAAAGGCTCACACAGGATCACAGACTCACATGGGCACACATTCTCTCAAAGACACGCAGACTCACACAGACACACACACTCACACAGACACACAGACTCACACAGACACACACACTCACACAGACTCACACACTTATACAGGCACACAGTTTCACATAGGCGCATAGGCTCAAACAGGCACACAGAATCATACAGGATCACACAGGCTCACACACGCACACAGGTTCACACAGACACACAGCTTCACCTAGGTACAAAGGCTCACACAGGATCACAGACACACAGGCACACAGACTCACACAGGCACAAAGGCTCACACAGATACACTGACTCACACAGGATCACATAGTCTCACCTAGGTAAAGCCTCACACAGGCGCACAGACTCACAGGGGCGCAAAAGCTCACACAGGCTCACAGACTTGGTAGACATGCCAGTCACTGAGGCCCACAGGTGAGGAAGTCCAGTGTGGGTTCCTGAGGCGCCCAAGTGAGAACCCTGCTCGGCCTGGAGAAGCCAGGCCTACCCAAGGCATCGTCCCTGGCACTGGAGCCTCAGCAGCTCTGCACAGTGACACCGGTTCAGACTGGGTCACACTTTGTCGGGACTGAGCCTGGACCTGGGTCCAGACACAGATTTGGGGCCTCCCACCCACCCAGAGCCCCACAAACCCCAGCCCGTGCCACAGCCAGGGAACGGTGTGTGCACGTGTGAGTCTGGACCTGGACTCGTTCACTCACACTCTTCACAGCCACACACTCGGGAAGCTGGCTGCCAGCCCCATGAGGCCGAGCACCCAGGGTCATGGTTCAGCTGACCTGGGCCTGTCCCCTCAGGCCCTGAACCTGACTCCCCCGGCTGCTGGGCCAGGCACCTTTCAGAGGGCCCCACGCTGATCCTCGTAGCATCTGTACCCCAGGGATTGTTCTAGAACCCACAGCTGACCGCAGCCCCATTGCTCTCAGGGTGAACCTGGTCGGCCTGCCCTCCGCTTCTGGCCAGCTCGTCTTGCTTTAGAAAAGCGGGAATGCTAGGCTTCTCGAGTCCAGTAGTTTAGTGCTCCTTACCACCCACACAGGCACCCAGGGAGCAGGTCTGCTTTGCTGGCGGGAACAACCCCACCTTGGCTCTGCCCCCTTTGCTGTCTCACCTCCCAGGTCACAGGGCCCTTCCCTCAGCAGTGGCCAGTCCAGGGAGGATGGGCAGCCAACAGGCAAAACCCCAATGGTGTGTCTCCCCACCAGGCTGTGACCCGTGGGAAGGCTGGGGGCTCTGAGGTGCATAGAACTGAGGTGCCTTGTGCAGGGCAGGGCTTGGGGTGGATGACACACACAGACCAAGGCCATGGCCCACATGTGTGCACGTGTGGAAGCTTGAGAAACGGTTCAGGGGTCCCCCAACCCTCCACCTACAACATGGGTCCTTCAGGGCAGCAGCCAGGCTCCCCGAAACCCAGCACCACCAGACCGCCCGAAGGCCCAAGCACCCCCCACAGGCCCACCCTCCCTCCCCAGGCAGGGACTTAACTCCTGCCACACGGGGACTCCCACCCGGAGGTGTCAAGACCGCTGACCAGGACAGGTGTCCCCTCTCCTGTCGCCCAAGCACCAGTGTCACTGTGGGGGCCCAGCGTCCCTGAATTCTCCAAACGCTGCCCTCAGTGGTCACTCGGTACGGGTGCAGCCAGCTCAGTCCCCGATGACCCGGGGCCGTGGAGTGACCGAGTACTGCCAGTGAGCTCAGCCTGGCAGGGGTCGGGGTCCAGGCTGAGTCTGGGGCTGGCGTCAGGGGGACCTAGGGCCGGGCTGGGGGAGCCTGGGGCTGGGGTCCCGGGGGCCTAGGGCTGGGCTCGGGTGAGCCTGGGGATGCTCTCTGACTGTGCCCTGTCTTGGTGCCGAAAGCAGCCCCGGGAGCTGGACCTCCAGCCCCTGAACACGCTGGACTCTGCTGCCCCCGTGTGGCCATAAGCAGAATTGCAGGCACTGGACCGCAGGAGGCTCGGCCCAGACCTGGGCCCTGGGGGGAGGAGAAGAGGCAGGGGCAGCGGGCGAGGCCAGCACCACCTGCAGGTGGGAATAGAGGTTCATCCTGGAGCCCAGTGAGGGTCTGCACCCTGGACCCCGCGCCCACCCCCTGTCCTTGCAGTGCAGGTGAGCCCTGGGGTCCTTGGAACAGCCTCGAGGGAAGCGGCACACAGGGCACCAGACACCCCCAGAGGCCTGTGCCCGGGCGCCTGCATTGTCACGCGTGTACTCGGCAGCTGTGTCAGCTGTCCTGAGGGCTACAGGCCCAGCCCAGGGCCGAGGGCACGGCCCGAGGGTCACACCCTGTTCCCTGCTCCACCAGAGGCTGCTGTACTTGTCACTGCAGTTTGCGGGGATGCTCCCCGTGTGCCCGTGAGGTGACATCCGGGCCCCACCCTGCAGCCGGTCCCACGGTGCAGCAGGTCCCGGGCAGGTGGTCACACCGGGTGTCCCCGAGGCGAGGCTCGGTGCCCCCTGGGGGCCATTCTGCACCTTTGCCGCTCTGCCAAACCTGGGGCATCAGAGCCCTCCACACAGCCCTGGGGCTCTGGGCAGGGGCTCTGTGGGCACCGTGTGGGCAGTCTGGGACTGAGTTAGGGGGGCGGGGGTCCCCCTGGAGCTGCACCAGGGCCGGGGCTCAGAGCTGCTCTTGGGGCAGGGCCACAACTCGGTTCTGAGTGAGCAGGTCCATCACAGACATGCAGAGTCACCAGCTCTCCTGCATGGACCGCGGGCAGCGCCCACCCAGCAGCATGCCAGGGACTGTCACCCAGACCCAGGACCCGAGCCCATCTGCAACAGGGCAGGATCAAGCCTGGGTCTGAGTCTGGGGCCTGAGTGGGCCCCCGTCTGTATGAGGGCCAGAGGGTCTCTGAATGTACACTGTGATGGCCAGTGAGAGGTGGGTGGCTGAGGGGAGCAATGCCCTGGCAGATACAAGCCTTGCTCCCTGAGTACCTGGGGCACTCAGCCTTCAGCCTCAAAGAATGCTCGCGACAGATCTGAGGACAAAAGGCCAAGAAAAATCACAAGGAAGAAAAACAAGAAGCCAACTGTCATTTCCTGTGAAATGAGGAACCACAGAGTCAGACCCCAGGGAGAGGAAAAGCCGGTATCAAAACCATCAGACACAGAATAGGCAGGGGAAGCGTCTAGGGTTGTTTTCTAAAGATAATGCACATGACAAAATAAGATAAAATTTGAGATAAACCAAGAGATATGAAAAGATATCCTAGAACTGAAAAAGGTGACGTTTGACAGGGAAGTCAAAACAGACAAAACAGACAGCACACAGGACCCAGCCAAAGCGAAGATTCGTGTTGGAGGAGAAGTAAGGTAGCAGGGGGGTTTCCCCAGTGGGTAAAGAACCCGCCTGCCATGCAGGAGTCACAGGAGACGCAGGTTCGATCCCTGGGTCAGGAAGATCCTCGGGAGCAGGGCATGGCAACCCTCTCCAGTGTTCTTGCCTGGAGAATTCCACAGACAGAGGAGCTACTGGTGGGCTACAGTCCATGGGGTCACAAAGAGTCAGACACGACTGAAGTGACTGAGCTCGCAAGGCAGCACGGAGACCCCAAGCAAGAGGACGTGGGAAGCAACACCAGGCACCCTGGACACTGCAGCAAACAGGCCCCACCACGGGGCTCATCTCCCAAAGAAGAAGTGGGGGTGCAAAAGGCCAAGGCCCAGAGCGGTCCAAAAGAGAAGAGAGACGGGGCTCTGCACACTCGAGACCCCAGCAGACCCCAGCAGGACAGGGTTCAGGCCCACTTAAACTGCTGTGATCAGCATCATATTCCAGGCAGCAGAAACTGCGGACTGCATCTCCCAGTCCTGAAGGCCGGTGGGCTAAAACCGAGGTGGGGCACTGGGCTCCTCCCGAGGCCATGGTGTGTAGACACGTCCTCACTGGGCTCTGCCTGAGGCCATGGCATGTAGACACGTCCTCATTTGGCTCCATCTGAGGTCATGGCGTGCAGACACGTCCTCTCCCGGGCAACCCCTGGGCCTGTCCATGTCCTCACGTCCTCCTCTTAGGAAAACACCAGCCAGACTGGGTTGGGGCCACCCAAGGGACTGCATCTCAACTCGATTACCTCCATAAAGGCCCATCTCCAAGTTCAGCACATTCTGAGCTCCTGGAGGTTAGGGATGCAACATCTGAATTTGGGCAGACATAGTTCCCTCCATAACATGAAATAAACACAAAATGCAATTCCTGACACATTGAGGAGAACAGAGCAGGTGCCCTGTGACAACCTGGAGGGATGGGAGGGCGGGGGGAAGAGCTCAGGAGGAAAGGGATGCAGGTTCGCCTGTGGCTGATTCCTGTTGATAGAGAGCAAACACCATCACCACATTGAAAAGCAATTATCCTCCAATTAAAATAAATACATTGCTTAAAAAAAGAAAACGGAAGATTTTAGAAGCAGGTGGCCAGGCACGCTGGGCATGGCAGGCTGAGCGTGGATGCTGGGCAGGGCTCCGGGGCTCAGGTCACACTGGTGGGTCCGCCTGTCTGGATGCCGCTCCTACACCGGTCCTGTCCCTGCAGTGACTCCAGGGCAAGACTCGGGGGGGGGGGGGGGGGCCTGGTGGCCGTCCTGCGTCATCACATGCACAAGTGGACACAAGGGTGTTTACACTGTGAGGTCTAATTGTTCGCTCCTTGGAAGAAAAGCTATGACCAACCTAGACAGCATATTAAAAAGCAGAAACATTACTTTGCCAGGAAAGTTCTGTATAGGAAAATCTATGGTTTTTCTAGTAGTCATGTATGGATGTGAGAGTTGGATCGTAAAGAAAGCTGAGCACCGAAGAAATGATGCTTTTGGTCTGTGGTGTTGGAGAAGACTCTTGAAAGTCCCTTGGTCAGAAAGGAGATCCAACCAGTCAGTCCTAAAGGAAATCAGTCCTGAATATTCATTGGAAGGACTGGTGCTGAAGCTGAAACTCCATTACTTTGGCCACCTGATGTGAAGAACTGACTCATTTGAAAAGACCCTGATGCTGGGAAAGATTGAAGGTGGGAGGAGAACGGGTCGACAGAGGATGAGATGGTTGAATGGCATCACCAACTCAATGGACATGAGTTTGGGCAGGCTCCAGGAGTTGGTGATGGACAGGGAGGCCTGGCGTGCTGCAGTCCATGGGGTCGCAAAGAGTGGGACACGACTGAGCGACTGAGCAACTGAACTGAACTGTGAGGTCTAATGCAATAGACAGAGGGGTCCCAGGGCAGCCCCTCCTGGCACCATCGGTATTCCTCTAGACCTCACAGTGTACAATAAATGCCCTGAGTCCACACTGACATAACCACATAATGGATTCAAACAGAGTAAAGCATTGAATGAAAAAATTAAAATGCGGGAGAAGAGAGCTCTCCCTGCAGGAGAACCCCACAACTACGGAGATGCTTCCCCTCACCCAAGCCGAAGGTAACATCCCCCACACCCCGCACAGGGGGCTTCCCCCTTGGACCCGCCTGTCTTTATTGACCCTGAGCGCAGACGGCGGGTAGGGAGCCGCCACTCTCCGGTCGCTGCTTCATGGAGGGACTGGAGCGCCCCGTGCTCTCTCTCGAGCTGGCCTGGGGCTAGGAGCGTACTCTCTTCGCTCGCACACCCCGAATCTCGTGTGCAGAAGTGCCCACTGCCCAGTGTGTTCCCGCAAGACGTGATTTCACACGGACAGCGCCCCTGGTGGCCACGCCCAGCCAGCCCTCGGCTCTAGAGTGGGGGGTCCCCGGCAAGAGCCACAGACTTGGACGTGAGCACGTGTGGTGTGTGCGTGAGAGTGGCTGTGTTCACACAAGTGTAGCCCTAGCTCCACCCACCGAGCGGTCCCAGGAAGAGCGATGAGTACACATCCGGGGGCAGGGGAGCCTGGTTCCACGGTTCCGCCTGATGCCCCTGCGGTTTCTGTAGGATCGGCGGGCTCGCGCTATGGACGGACGAGACCCGTCGTCCTGGGGTCCGGCCTTGCAGCTGGGACTTTGGGCCGTATGGACGGGCCCCTTTGCGGAGGGGTCCAGGCGGCCGGGGGGTGGGCGTGGGGAGTCACCCTACCCTTCGCAGGGACCGGGCTGGCCGTCCCTGCCTGGCCGTCCAGGGAGGGGGCGGTGAGCAGCAAGGGGCAGCGAGAGTGGCCTGGGTCCCTTCAGTCCGCAACCAGCAAAAGCCCCCCAGCTGCCCGACGCCTGGGGGCACTGGAGAGGCCCAACCCGCTGCGCGTCTAGCTGCGCATCTAGCTGCGCATCTAGGCTGGCGGCACGCGGCGAGCCCGGGCAGCAGGGAGGCGGAGCCGGAGCGGCGGGCTACCCCGCGGCCCGGGACCCTCCCCGCCCCTCGGGCTCCCCGGCTGCAGAGCCAGGTCCCCCGTGTCCGCCTCCCTGCGGCGGCGGCGGCGGGTGGTGGGGGAGTGGCCGCGGAGCAAAGCCCACCCTCCCCGGTCACCAGGTGCTGATGCCGGAGGCACTGGCAGCAGCGGGGCACCCACGACCCCCGAAGGCACAAGGGGCAAAGTCGGGGCTCCGGCGACCCCCCGACAGAGGCGGCGGCGGCGGCGCCTCCCGAGCGGAACCGAGCCCGCGGGCGCCGAGGCTGGAGACCAGCGCTGCGCCGCCTGCCGGACGGAAGGGAGGGCTCTGATCCAAACCACCGCCGGGGCTTCCTGGGGGCTCAGGGGGCAGAGTCAGCCCGCAGAGCTAAAGACCCGGGTTCGATCCCTGGGTCGGGAAGATCCCCTGGAGAAGGGAACCCACTCCAGTGTTCTGGCCTGGAGAATTCTGTGGACTGTACAGTCCAAGGGGTCGCAAAGAGTCGGACACGACTGAGCGACTTTCACACCACTTGGAAGGTGCGGGCCAGGAACCCCCCGACCCCTCCCAGTGCCAGGAAGAAGCAGGGACACTGTCCCACAAAGAGAAGACGATTCTCCAGAAACCAAGCTTAAAGTCAAGGCGCACTGAGAGTTAACTGACGGACAAGCCACACAGCCCTCACGGAGACTCCACGAGCCACGGGAACTCAGAGGGCTGCTCCAGTGAGCTCAGAGATGCATTTAATGAACACAAGAAATAAGTTACCAGAAAGATTAGAACCTTAGTGAAAAACTAACCAAACAGCAGTGCTGGAGCTGAAGAACTCACTCAGTGAGACGCATTAGAAAGCACTGGAAAGGGAGCAGGCTGCGTGGAAAGGAGAATTAGTGAGCTCAGGTAGAAGCCTAGAAATCACACAAGGTGAGGAGGAAAAAGGACTGCAATACCAAAGTGAAGACATTCCATGAGTTCTAGTTGGCTCTTTTAGGAGGAGGGAACCCCACAGGGAAAGCAAGAGGGAGGGACAGAGCGCTTATTTCAGGGGGTCAGAGCTGGGTGTTCCCTGGCAGTCCAGTGGCTCACTCTTGGCACTTTCACTACCCCAAGCCCAGATTAGATACCTGGTCCGGGAACTAAGATCCCGCAAGGCACTCGGTGCAGCCAAGAAAGAAAGAAAGAATAGCTGAGAACTTCCCAAACCTGGGAAGAAACCAGATACACAAGTCCATGAAGCTGAGAGAATACCCAATTACCTCAGCGCAAAAAGACCTTCCAAGCACCTTATATTAAAATTGTCAAAAGCCAATGACAAAGAATTTTAAAGACAGCCAGAAAAAAAATATGGTCACCTACAAAGGAACCCCCTTAGGCTACCAGCAGATTAATCAGCAGAAATCCTACTGGCCAGGAGAAAATAGAATGGCATTCTCAAGAGACCCAAAGGTTCCCCTATCCAGCAAAGGTATCATTCAGACACGGAGGAGAAATAAAGGCTTCCGCAGACAGACAAAACCTGAGACAGTCCATCACCACTAGACCTGCCTTACAAGAGCTGTTGGAAGGAGATCTCTGACCAGAAACAAAAAGGCGAGAGTTCACAAAGCTGAGTAAAGTGGTGAATAGACAGAATCAGAAATTTGAGGCTCTTTAACAATATAGGCTTTTAAGCATTTTATCATAGCATAAAGGATAAAGGGGAAAGCAGAAAAATAATTACAGCCACTTCAACTTGTAACAAACTCATAATATAAAAAGCAGTACTTTGAGACACCAAAAATATATGGGGAAGAGGATGGACCCTGTTTGACAAATGAAAATAGATGCTGTCTGCAGAACGAGGACTATTTCATCCATGAGACGTTTTATTACAAACCTCATGGTGGCCATAAGACATACACTGAGAGCAGAGGCAAGAAACATTAAAAAAAGAAAACGAGAAAAAATCCTAGAAAACCCCAAACCTAAATGGTAGAGAGAACGCAATGGGAAAAGCAGTGGAAAGACTGTTCTAAGTTGCTTTCAGTCATGTCTGACTCTGCAACCCTCTGGGCCGCAGCCTGCCTGTCCTTGGGATTCTCCAGGCAAGAATACTGGAATGGGTTGCCGGGCCCTCTTCCAGGAGATCTTCCTGACCCAGGGATCGAACCCATGTCTTTTACGTCTTCTGCATTGGCAGGCAGGTTCTTTACCACTGAGCCTTCCAGGAAAGCCCCAGTGGAGAGATTGCACAACCATAAAACAAAAGGAAAATAGCAGTCCTCAGCCCTCACTTACCAAAGATCACCCTAAATATGAATGGATCGAATTCACTAGTGAAATGACACAGAGTGCCTGGGTGGATTAAAAAACAAAACCCAACTATATGCAGCCTCCAGAGACTCATCTCGGCTCTGCAGACAAACAGGCTCAACAGGAAGGGACGGAGCATGAAACCTCAAGCACAGCCAAAAGAAACTGCGTGTAGCTCCACTCATATCAGACAAGCGACTTCAAGCCAAAATGGTAACAAGGGACAAAGATGGACTGTATATAATGATAAAGGGGACAATTCATCAAGAAGACATAACAGTGGGGACTTCCTTAGTGGTCCAGTGGTTAAGAATCTGCCTTGCAAGGCAGGGGAGGCAGTTTCAGTCCCTGGTCTCAGCAGACCCTACACGCCACGGAGCAACTGAGGCTGTGCACCACGACTACTGCGCCCCCGGGCTCTGGAGCCCACACACCACCAGAAAGACCCTAATATAGAAGCGTCAGAATACATAAAGCACTTCTTAGTAGAGCAGAAGGGAGGCAGTGACAGCAGTGCAGTAATCATCGGGGACTCTCACACCCCGCTTACAGCAGTGGACAGATCGCAAAGTCAACAAGGAGACCATGGCTTTGCTGAAACACTGGGCCACATGGCCTTGACAGACCTGTACAGAGCCCTCCATCCAAATGCAGCAGAACAAATGTTCTCTCACGTACACGTGGTACTTCCTCAAGGCTAGATCATGTCTGGGACACAAAGCAAGTCTCAATAAATTAAAGAAGGTTGAAATCTTATTGAGCATCTTTTCCAATCACAATAGCATGAAATTAGAAATCAACTACAAGAAGAAAGCTGGAAAAATAACCAATATGCAGAGACTGAACCACATGCTATAAAGACCCCCTGGGTCAATGACCAGAGCAGAGGTTACAGGGAGGGGATGAGGGCGTGGGAAGGGCAAGAAGAGTAAAGGGGCCAACTCTACGGTGATGGGTGGAAACTGAATTTTTGGTGGTGAGCACGCTACAGAGTGGTGTCTTACCTGGTGGCTCAGCAGTAAAGAGTCAGGCTGCAATGTCATGGCCGTAGGAGACCTGGCTGGGTTGGGAAGATCCCCTGGAGGAGGTCATGGCAACCCACCCTAATATTCTTGCCTGGAGAATCCTGTGGACAGAGGAGCCTGGTGGGCTACAGTCCATGGGGTCGCAAAGAATCAGATACAACTGGAGCAACTTAACACGCATGCATGCTGTAAGGCATACAGAAGTAGAAATATATTGAACATATAAAACAATATTTTTTCTTTTCTATTTTTTAAATTATGAAAGTATGATAACACATTTACAGAAGACTTGGAAAATATAGAACAAGTAGATAAAGTAAGATTTTTAGTTGGAGTTTCAATACCAAACTCTCAAAACTTAATAGAATGAATAGACAGAAATGTAAAAGGACATAGTAGACCTGAAAAGTACTGTGAACCAATTTAACATAATGAAGGTGTATAGAATTCTCACACAACCGCAGGATACAAATTCTGTTCAAGTCCCCATAGACTTAAACCAGGAGACAGTGGAACATATCCAGGGACATAAAACAAGGTACAAAAATAAACTAATGTTACCTAGAGAAAGGTAAATCTTTAAAGAGACATAATAAAGAGGGACAGTGGGAGGTGTGAGCTCCCGTGTGAGACTCCCAACCTCCGACTGGAGGGACAATTTGAGTGAAAGTGAAAGTGTTACTCACTAGGTCTTGGCAGACTCTTTGCAACCCTGTGGGCTGTAGCCCGCCGGGCTCCTCTGTCTATGGAGTTTTCCAGGCAAGAACACTGGAGTGGGTTGCTACTCCCTCCTCCAGGGGATCTTCCCCACCCAGGGATTGAACCCAGGCCTCCTGCTATTTACAGTCTGAGTCACTGAGGTGAGGGAATCCCAATATATGGCCGAGGTTTGGGAACAACCCAGCAAGCAGCAATCACGATCAAGTGACCCTTCAATGCCCTAAGGAGCCAAGAATGTCAGCTGAGCCTGAACTCCTGACCACATGCCTGGACGGACAGTCAGTCGGACATGGGCTGGGCTGTTTGTGACGCAGCCCAAGAGCCAGCACACGTCCCAGGCCTCAGCGAGACTCTCCATGGGGACGGGAAGGACCCTTCTCCCCACAGGTACAAAGCCAGCCTGCGTGTCAAGTGGAGCAGCCTTCTCAGCAATGCAGGCATCACTTGCCGCCGGCACTCTAAGACCAGGGGCAAGTTTTCCCCTCGGATTGTTGGCTCTCACGGGACAGACCTACCACGTGTGTGTGCAGGTGTGAGAGCTGGAGAAGGCTCTGGGGCCCCCCAGCCCCTCTGCTCCAATCTGATCCTTCACATGGCAGCTTCCCTCCCAAACCTGCACCACCAGACCCTCCCCGGAGGCCCATGTCACCCCAGCAGGCTCAGGCTCCTGCCCCAGGCAGGGACCAGGCGCCCCCACCTGCCACACAGGGATGCCCACCCTGAAGATGCCAGGACAGGTGACGGCGGGGGATCCCTGTCCTGTTCCCCAAGCACCAGTCTCGCTGTCCAGGGCCCAGCGTCCCTGAATTCTCCACACGCTGCCCTCAGCGGACACTCAGTACGGGTGCAGCCAGCGCAGCCCCCAATGACCCATGGCCGTGGGGTGACCAAGTACTGCCCGTGAGCTCAGCCCGGCAGGAGACGGCGTCCAGGCTGAGCCTGGGGCTAGGGTCAGGGGGACCTAGGGCTCGGGAGCCTGGGGCTGGGGTCCGGGCGGCCTCGGGCCGAGCTCCGGAGCCTGGGGCTGGGGTCCGGGCGGCCTCGGGCCGAGCTCCGGAGCCTGGGGCTGGGGTCCGGGGGCCTAGGGCCGAGCTCCGGAGCCTGGGGCTGGGGTCCGGGCGGCCTAGGGCCGAGCTCCGGAGCCTGGGGCTGGGGTCCGGGCGGCCTAGGGCCGAGCTCCGGAGCCTGGGGCTGGGGTCCGGGCGGCCTCGGGCCGAGCTCCGGAGCCTGGGGCTGGGGTCCGGGCGGCCTAGGGCCGAGCTCCGGAGCCTGGGGCTGGGGTCCGGGCGGCCTCGGGCCGAGCTCCGGAGCCTGGGGCTGGGGTCCGGGCGGCCTAGGGCCGAGCTCCGGAGCCTGGGGCTGGGGTCCGGGCGGCCTCGGGCCGAGCTCCGGAGCCTGGGGCTGGGGTCCGGGCGGCCTCGGGCCGAGCTCCGGAGCCTGGGGCTGGGGTCCGGGCGGCCTCGGGCCGAGCTCCGGAGCCTGGGGCTGGTCGGTGCTGGTCGGGGCAGCGTGCCCTCTGGCCGCTCCTGGCTTTGGTGCCGGGGAAGCCCTGTGAGGACAGCGGGCCCCTGAATGTGTTGGGCTCTGCTGCCACCGTGTGGCCACCAGCAGCACTGCATGAGCCGGGCCAGCAAGAGACCAGGGTCCTGGGCTGGCAGGGGCAGAGATCACAGCCTGCACCACCTGGGGATCATGGCATCAGGTCACATCACTTCATGGCAAATAGATGGGGAAAAAGTGGAAGCAGTGACAGACTTTATTTTCTTGAGCTCCTGCGGACTGTGACTGCCGCCATGAAATTAAAAGACGCCTGCTCCTTGGAAGAAAAACTGACAAACCTAGACAGCATATTAAAAAACAGAGACATCCCTTTGCCGACAAAGGTCTGCCTAGTCAAACCTATGGTTTTTACAGTAGTCATGTATGGATGTGAGAGTTGGACCATAAAGAAGGCTGTTGCTATCGTTCAGTCATGTCCGACTCTTTGAGACCCCATGAACTGCAGCACACCAGGCCTCCCTGTCCATCACCAATTCCCGGAGTTTACTCAAACTCATGTCCATTGAGTCAGTGATGCCATCCAACCATCTTATCCTCTGTCGTCCCCTCCTTCTCCTGCCCTCAATCTTTCCCATCATCAGGGTCTTTTCAAATGAGTCAGTTCTTCACATCAGGTCGCCAAAGTATTGGAGTTTCAGCTTCAGCTCATTCCTCCCAGTGAATATTCAGGGTTGATTTCCTTTGGGATTGACTGGTTGGATCTCCCTGCAGTCCAAGAGACTCTCGAGTCTTCTCCAGCACCACAGTTCAAAAGCATCAACTCTTTGGTGCTCAGCCTGCTTTATGGTCCAACTCTCACATCCATACATGACTACTAGAAAAACCATAGCTTTGACTATACAGACCTTTGTCGGCAAAGTTATGTCTCTGCTTTTTAATATGCTGTCTAGATTTGTCATGGCTTTTCTTCCTAGGAGCAAGAGTCTTTTTATTTCAATGGCTGAGCACCAAAGAACTGATATTTTTGAACTATGATGCTGGAGAAGACTCTTGAAAGTCCCTTGGACTGCAAGGAGATCAAACCAGTCAATCCTAAAGGAAATCAACCCTGAATATTCATTGGAAGGACTGATGCTGAAGCTGAAGCTCCAATACTCTGGCCACCTGATGCAAAGAGCTAACTCTGGAAAAGACCCTGTTGCTGGGAAAGATTGAAGGCAGGAGGAGAGAGGACGACAGAGGATGAGATGGTTGGATGGCATCACCGACTCAATGGACACGAGTTTGAGCGAGCTCCAGGAGTTGGTGATGGACAAGGAGGCCTGGCGTGCTGCAGTCCATGGGGTCTCAAAGAGTCGGACATGACTGAGCGATTGACTAACAATATGTTGGACTCTGCTGCCCCCGTGTGGCCACCGGCAGCATCGCAGGCACTGGGCCGCAGGAGGCTCGGCAGAGGCAGGGGCAGCGGGCGTGGCCAGCACCACCTGGAGGTGGGAATGTAGGTTCATCCTGGAGCCCAGTGAGGGTGTGCACCCTGGACCCGGTGCCCACCCCACGCCCTTGCAGTGCAGGTGAGCTCTGGGGTCCTTGGAACAGCCTCGAGGGAAGGGGCACACGGGGAGCCAGACACACCCCGGGGCGGGGGCCGGGGGCCGGGCTGTGCCCGGGCACCTGCGTTGTCAGGTGTGTGCGCGGCAGGTGTGTCAGCTGTCCTGACACATTAAACTTAAAACTGATCGTCCGGATCAGCCCCAAAGCTGGTCCCTTTTCAGACCTATTTGTCAGAAACGGTTCAGCGAGCGGCTTGTTTCATGCCCCAAACCGCAGGAACCTGACCCCGCGATATCCAAGAACTCTGAGGTTGAAACGTGCTCTCCAGAGCTCCTCAGGCTGGGCTCACGCTAGAATCCCTAGGACACTCCTCAGTGCGGCGTGAAGCCGCGCTGCCCTCCTGCAGAGCGAGGGGTCCCTCCACCTGGACGCAGCTTGAGGGGGAGCTGGGCCGGAGGGCAGCCCTGGGCCCCCGGCGCCCCCTGGTGGCCACTGCGCCGCTGCACGTCCTGCCCGCCCGGCCCAGCCCCCGGCTCTCGGGCAGCAGTGTTTGTGGGCGTCCCACCCGCCAGAAGCAACGCCCCTCTGCGCCAGCCCTGCTCGTGGCCGAGTCCCAGCGTCACGTCTCTGCAGAAGTCCTCCCGGATCTCCCCTGCAGGCCACGGCCCACGCCCAGGTCTGCGTGCGACCTCTCAGGTGAGGAACCGGCATTCTGCGGTCGGCCCGCCAGTCATCCCGGGCACTTCCCCACCAAGTGAGCGCCAACACCGAGCTGCCCCCATTAAGAGCAAAGGTCCCCGAGGGGGCGGGAAGTCCTGGATTCGCCATCCGCTGCGTCAGACCGTTCCTGATGTCCTCCGGTTTCTGCCTCATTTCATAGAAAATGGATAAAGATTCGCGTCCACGTGAATTCTGCAGTGTAGACGTGGTGTATGGGTCAAGGTTCACCAGGCCAAACATCACCAGCATGTCTTCTGTCCCTGGGTGCCCTTTCCCATCCACGATGACCATCACAAACAGTGTTCCCTGGTTAAACTCTGCGGAACCAAGTTTCCTACTGAGATCGGGCTTCCTTGCCGAGATTCCACCCAAGCAAGTGTTACACATATGGTTCTTTGCTCTGACCGTCATACAGTGTATTTATTACTTCAGCTGCAATATTTCTTTTCAGTTCAATGAAAGATTGAAAGTCTTTTTTGAGATTGCCAGTGAAATATAAAGGATTGAGCCTGGGCACTTACAAACGTACTCTCCCAAAACCCCATATACACACTACAACACGTAAAGTAAGTAACTAACAAGAGCCTGCTGTATAACGCAGGTAACTCTACCCAATACTGTGTAATGGCCTAGACTGAAAAAGCGGCTTAAAGAGAGTGGATATCTGTATACCTGTAACTGACTCACTTTGCCGTACGTGTGTGAATGTACAGGTCGCTCAATCTTGTCCGAGTCTGTGACTCCATGGGCTATAGCCCTCCAGGCTCCTCTGTCCATGGGATTCTCCAGGCAAGAATCCTGGAGCGGGTTGCCATGCCCTCCTCCAGGGGATCCTACGGACCTAGGGATCGAACCCCCATCTAGGTTCATCATGAACTGCAGGTGGAATCTCTTTACTGCTGAGCCATCAGGGACACCTGAAACTAAATCACCTACACTCCAATTTTTTTTTAGAAACAGAATACAGAAAATGCCTCTTGGGCCCCTTCGGGCACCAGCCCCCGTCCTGGGTGGGCTGCAGGGTCACCAGGCTGGATCCTCGTGGACTTCAGCTTACAGGCCAGGAGACAGGAGGAGGCCACACACCCAGGTTGCTCTGCTGGGAGCTCCAGAGCTGAGATCTGAAGCCAGGGTCAAAGGTGCGTGACTCACAAGCTAAGCTGCTGGGGCCCCGGGGTGGCACAGGAGATGGAAGCAGAAGAAATTCTGGAATCTACAGGAAGAGACTGTGATGGAGTCAAAAGCTGAGATCTGAGTCAGCAGCAGGGGAAACAGCATGCTCCCATCTTGCACGGTGGCGCCACACAGACTAGGGTCCTGGGGCGGCAGGCTGGGGGTGTCCAGGGCAGAGGACTAGGGGACAGACGCGTGAGGTCAGGAAACCACCAGACTCCCTGAGTCACTTTTGAACCAGGGCAGCGACATCCACCTTCTTCCTCTTGGCCAGAACTGGCACCGTCTAAGCAGAGAAGGCTTGGAGACACCCATCTCCAGCCTGTTCGCACAGGAAGGCCAGGGGCGTGGGTCCGGCAGGCTTAACTGCCAGCAAGCGTCACTTAGGGAAAGGAGAGACATGCCCAGACAGACGAGGGCTAAGAGAACTGATGCCCCAAGCCCCTTCTGGGTCCATAAGGAGAAAACCCAGCTGTGTAACCACAAGGAAAAGCAGTGGCATGGCTCACACAAGCGGAGTCCACACCACCCTCCATGAACCACATCAGAGACTCTGCGGAGCGGGCAGGTGGGCACAGGTTCTCAGACCTACCACCACGCACACCTTCCGGCAGGAGGAGGTATGAAGAAGGCGATGGGGCCCCAGGATGGCTGGCAGCCCTCACAGGAGCCGTGGAACTTTATTCTGTTGGCATCTAGGAAGCCAGGTGGGACCTGGAGGATAAAGTTAATTACCAACTCAGAATTCCCGGGTAGTACAGCAGATAAGGATCCGCCTGGCAATGCAGGAGACACAGGCTTGATCCCTGGTCCGGGAGGACCCCACATGCCAGGGAGCAAAGAAGCCCATGTGTCACAAGTCCTGAGCCTGCGCTTGGCAACAAAAGAAGCCGCTGCAAGGAGAAGCCTGAGCAGTGCAGTTAGAGCAGCCCCTGCTCTCCGCAACGCGAGGAAAGCCCTCGCAGCATCAAGGGGCCAGCACGGCCAAAACTAAAGAAACAAAACTCGCTTTTACAAAGCGCGATGGGGGACCTCCCCGGTGGCTCCCTGGTAAAGAATCCGCCTGCCAATGCGGGGGACACGGGTTTGATCCCTAATGTGGGGAGAGCTCACGTGCTATGGGGCAGCGAAGCCGTGCAAACTACTGAGCGTGTGCTTACAGCCCGAGCCGCACAGCAAGAGAAGCCCGCCACGCAACTCGAGAAAAGCGCCCACAGCAAAGGAGACCCAGCACAACCCAAATCAATTAATAAGAGGCTGCCTCCTTTAAAAAAAGCAAAAACAGAAAAGTATGATGGGAAATGTGACTGATCTAACCGACTTGGGGTGGAGAGGGGAGGGGTTAAAAGAAAAGAGGACAAACACATAAAATGAGACAGGGCACAGAGGCTCAAACATAACAGACTTCACAACTAATGAACATGGATTCAGCGGGGCTTTCCAAGCAGAGATTTCCAGGTAACATGTAAACAATAGAGTCCACCTTCGAGACAGCAGTGTGAAGAGCGGCCCCTCAGCCCAGGGTCACGACAAGCTGCACAGACGGGCTTAAACATCAGGCAGGTCGGTCTCAGAGCCCTGGAGGCTGGACGCCCTGGATTAAGCTGCCAGCCTGACCTCATCTGACCCTCATCACCTCCCAACAGCCCCACCTCCAAATACTACCCACTGGGGTGGGGCTTCAGCTCGCGGGGGTGGTGGGAACACGGTCCACAGCAGAGGATTTGAGAATGAAGGGAACACACAGCACAAAAACTCAAACAAGAGCGTGTAGCACAACTCTCTAAGGGCAGAATGGACTGTGAGGCACAAAGGATGAACAGCAACAAAAAGACACTCACAGGGCGTCCCGGGTGGTCCAGTGGTTAAGAATTCACCTGCCAATAAGGGGACGTGGGTTCGATCCCTGGTCTGGGACAGTCCCACAGGCTGAGGCGCCACCACGCCCAGGCACCATGACTACTGAAGCCCACGTGCTCTGGAGCCAGCACTCTGCAAACAGGAGAAGCCAGAAACCCCCAGCTAGAGGGGAGCCCCCACTCACTGCAACTAGAGCAAGCCCACACAGCAACGACGACCCAGCGCAGCCACAAACTTTGAAAATAAGTAATCAAAAAGAGAGAGATGGAGGAACAAAGGAACTGGGAAGACTGAACCTGTTACCAACTTACAGGAACCTAAACCTAGCGTGACGATGTGCACAGCAAAGGCAACACAGGCACGAAAGTTAACACCGTCACCTGTGAGGCTCCAGCAAGCCACGCACGCCCAAGACCAGCAGAGGAGTCAGACGGCAGAATCGGTGGTGACGGATTTCCCACACCTGCCACCTCCGCTCGATTCCCAGGCCTTGGCGAGGCGAGGGTGAGAAGCACAGCTGCAGGCTCAGACGCAGAGCAGGGACTCAAGACCGTCCAAGGCCAGCTCTCCAAATGTGCTGGGGAAGAGCGAAGATCAGAGAAAAAACAAAAGCCAAGATCAAGGATCTTGATGTTAAACCATCAACAGCCACCCTGGATGCAGAAGCACCAAGCGTGGGGGAGGCTAGGGCGATGCTCGACACAGCCTCTGGAAAGCTGAGTGGTGTCACCTGGGGAAGGTTGACAGCCCCAACCTGCATCCCCACAGTTTTACTCCTGAGTACGTCAACCCAGGATGAGTGACGCAGGAGCAGTCACAGCAGGGTGGCTCATGGCGCCAAAAATCTGGCAAATCCAAATACCCGTGGATGGGGCAGGATGGGAGAGTGTGGAGTATTCACAGATTGGCAGCAGAATGAATTGACAGACACGCAACAGAATGGATGAATCTGAGTAAAATGCGGAGTGAAACGTCAGTCAGAGACGAATATATAAATAGCGTGATGTGCTCTGCATGCTAAGCCACTTCAGTCGTGTCCGACTCTTTGCAACCCTGTTGACCATAGCTCTCCAGGCTCCTCTGTCCCTGGGATCCTCCAGGCAACAATACTGGAGTGGGTTGCCGTGCCCTCCTCCAGGGGATCTTCCTGACCCAGGGATCAAACCCGTGTCTCTTACATCTCCTGCATTGGCAGGCAAGTTCTGTACCATTAGTGCCACAAGGGAGGCCCTATATAGCGTCACACTCTTTCCATAATGTTAAAACATTAAAGCCAAAATACAAATTCAGAAACACATATGGATTCAACATGTGTGTGTGCATGCTAAGTCACTTGAGTAGTGTCTGTCTCTTTTGCAACCCCATGGACTGTAGCCCGCCAGGCTCCTCTGTCCATGGGAATTCTCCAGGCAAGAATACTGGAGTGGGTTGCCGTGCCCTCTTCCAGGGGATCTTCCCAACCAAGGTTCAATAAATCTGCACAAAATGGAAAGAAAAGAAAGGCTCTCCCAGGACTGAGGGTGAAGCTGCCTCTGAACATGCAGGGATGGGTAGGTGGGCCTCAGAGAAATGCAGTCAGTGTCGAGATTTCAGCTTTGGTTTCCGGTGGTGGGTTTGCAGGTGCCTCTATGATTTAAATAACAAAGGACTGACTGTGTGCATAACGCACACCCAGCGTGGACCCAGGAAGGGAGCATATCATGAAACAAGCGTAATGATCCCTGATTCTCTGCACCTGGTGTCCATTTAAGACAAGAAGACTGTGACCAGAATTTACACAGGGTGCCTCCAAACCAGTAAGGAAAACACAGTCGAACAGAAAAACGGAATACAAGCCATTCACAGAAGACCATGAATGTTCCACGGAGACGTGAGAAGATGCTCAACCTTACCATTAATGCAGGAAACGTGAGTGCGGCTGGCTCTCCAGCCCCACCAGGTGGGTGAGACACACCCCCACCAGCCTCAGGGGTGGAGGCACCACCAAGGGAGGGCAGACCAGTGAGACCCCGCCCCGCCCGCCCCCAGCTCTGGACCACGCCCTGCCCTCACCCCAGTAAAGAACAAGCTCGCTGCCGCGGGGAGCGAGCAAGCAAGGCTCTTACTTGCCCTCTCTCCCGGCGGCAGCAGGGGCCCCA